TACAGTTATGTTTTGAGCTCAATTCTCAAATATCCATAGAAGTTTCTACGGCCCAAAGCTGAGAGAGTTAAATCCAACTTCTGACTATACTGAATTACCAAGGCGTTAGACCCAGTCTTAAGCTTCTCAGAAAACTTCAACGGAGAGTTAGAGATGGGCAAAAATAGACCCAAACCCTGTTCCATACTTGTCCCATAGGAAAAATATCAAAAGCAACCACTTGCTCGCGTAGTTGTCGACGATTTCCTCTTTTGAGGGTTGCTTGGAAGTAAGCTTACAGTGAGTATGATCTTCCAAATACGCAAGTGCCAATAATTCAGTATCGGACTGAACGAACGAATCGTCGAGGGACTGGTTGCTTCACTAGCGGAGCCGTACTCTCGATCTTGAGAAGGACAGTAGCGATATTTGCTACTGAGTCATACTGGCCATCCCCAAAAGGCGTATTTTGGTTGGAAAGCGCGTGGGACAAACGATGTAAAAGAGTACAAAAGTGGAAATTTGACAAAAACTAACATCGATTTTGCTGGCAAGAATCAATGAGGCTGCTGCAATACATACAAAATCTTTGTTTTTTTCCGTAGCGCTCAAATAGAGATCGAAAATTTTGACAGCATGATAGAGCACCTCATGGTTCAGCTCAAAATCTTCCTGCATTAGCACATACCAGTCGATTACTTTTGTACGAATCTCTTTCGACATGAGTGGTTGTTTCGGCAAATAATCGCAGACACGAAATTTACGCTGAAAAAAAAAAAACGTTTTTAAGGTAAGCTGATCAGAAATGAGTGAAAAATGCAGGCGCTACAAAAAAAAAACAAATGCTAAGATCAAAATTAAGACAAACATAGATTCAAAACTAAAACAGCCATCTAAGAAATATTTGAGGAGTATGTTAGAGGCGTTTTTTCCCCCAAAATATAACTGGTGGACCTTCTTGTATTTCATGATGGTAAAAAAATATCGCCTAATCGAGGAGGTACTTCACTTTTGTAGAATATCATTTAAGCATTTCCCCTAATACAGAAAGTACCCAAAGCTTTGCCAACATCTTCAACCCGAAGAACGATTCTGCTGCTGGTCAATTCAGGAAACGAAACGCAAACATCAGGATCGCCAGCAGACTGATCACGAGCGGATGCGCAGCATTGGTCAAAGTAACTGAGGCTAACAAACAGTTGATCCAAGTATTTAAATACGACAGAAGTAGACATCCCGAACTGGCTGAATGATGATCAAATAGCGCAGGTACTGAGGGGCCCCCTCATCTAAGAAATAATAAATTGTGGCCGTTAGAAGGCCGCATCGTAATCTTAAAACAAGTGAACGATCCAAAGAAAACAAAATTTGGAGCAGCCGGAATTAGAAAGTTAAACCAAGGAACATGTTTAAGGGGTTTTTTTTTTACAGCATATCCGAATTTTCTTTCCTGCCCGATATGCTTAGCATGCCAGTGAACTGCGAAAATGAACCAGCACGAATCATGACGGATTGCTTTTCCCACTGACAGTTTTAAAGAATTACTTAAACACAAAATTTGCAGTTCTGTTGATAATATTAATAGCTGATACTGTGGCCTTTCCTTCAGAAGCACTGTAAATTAGTGTATTGATCCCCTACGTAGATGTGATTGCATTAAAGCGAGCTTAACGCTGGTGATAAGCACTTTCTTTTCTTTTCGAGAAAGGAACGGAGTCCTTTCTCGAAAATAGCTTTGGAGCGGAAGGGAATCGAACAACCTTTCTTCACGTCCGGGCGCAACATG